AAGCAATCAAATTCTGGTAATCTCATTACTCAAATTTACGTTGATGATATTATCTTTGGTTGCCCTAACACTACTCTTTGTGAAGAATTTGCTCTTTCCATGAAAGGTGAATTTGAGATAAGCATTATGGGAGAACTAACATTCTTCCTTGGACTTCAAATTCAGCAGTCTCCTAAAGAAATTTTTATCAACCAAACTAAGTACACCAAGGAGCTTATCAAAAAGTTTGGAATGGAAAATGCTAAGGCTATTGGCACTCCTATGAGTCCAACTACTGTGCTAGATGATGACATTAATGAAAAAATGGTTGATGAAACCATGTATAGAGGAATGATTAGATCTCTACTTTATTTAACTGCTAATCGACCAGATATTATGTTTAGTGTATGTAAATGTGCTAGGTTTCAATCAGCTCCTAAAAAATCACATTTGACTGCTGTTAAACACATTATTAGATATTTAATTGGTACTACTGAATTTGGCCTATGGTATGATCAACAACAACAACAACGACCCAGTATAATCCCACAAGTGGGGTCTGGGGAGGGTAATATGTAGCAGACCTTACCTCTACCCCGAAGGGTATAGAGGCTGTTTCCAGGAGACCCTCGGCTCAAAAAAGCAATAGGAGATGATATATTAGTACCATAAAAATGCGTAATAAAAATAACAACAATATATAAGAGATATGAAATATGAAATACAGAATACGAAATACGAAATAATTTTTAATACGAAATACAGCCTATGGTATGATCATTCTAATAATTTTTCCTTAAGAGGCTTTTCAGATGCTGATTTAGTAGAAGACAAAACTGATAGGAGAAGTACCAGTGGGACATGTCAGTTACTGGGAAATGCCCTAGTATCTTGGCATAGCAAGAAACAAAATTGTGTTGCTCTTTCAACAATTGAAGCAGAATACCTAGCTATTAGAAGTTGTTGTACACAAGTTTTATGGATCATGCATCAACTCGACTATGATTTATGTCTTACTGCTACTCCTTTTTTTTGGCGACAACACTAGTGCTATCTGTCTATATAAAAATTCTGTGCATCATTCTAGAGCAAAACATATAGAAATTAAACATCATTTTATTCGTGATCATGTTGCAAAAGGTGACATTGCATTAGAATTCATTAGCACTGATTCTCAACTTGCTGATATTTTCACTAAACCTCTTTTAGAAGAAAGATTGTGTATCCTTCGAAAAATGATTGGCATTCTGCCAAATTTGTAAAACAGTTACTTGTTTTAGTGGTTAAAATATTCTATACGTTTTCAGTATATTTTATTACCTTAATTATCCGTGTACTAATTAATTTTACTGTGGAGGTATAATTATTACTTGCAGTCATTCAGAACCATCACCTCGATCTGTATTTGACCCTTCCAAAAACCAAGACGCCCCTTCACTTATCTCAAATCCTTGATAAAAAACCTCCCTCTTCCAAATACTTTCCTTATTTTCTACCAAATCTCAAATTTCTCCATGGCCAAAAGAAATCCTTCCTCTGCAACCAGACGAAGCCGTAGGTTTCAAAAACCTATCAATACAGAAGAAATGGTGGATGTAGAGTCATCTATTGATGCAGACCTTCTCAAGACTGACAATGATAGCAATAACTCATATGAAAATCAACCCATTAGCCAGAAAAAGACCGAAAAACGACCCATGGAGCAAACCCCCAAAAAGGCTACATGCAAAAAGGGCAAGGTATAATGCTTGGATTTTGGTCTAGAAGACAAGTTGATCTTCTATGACCCCAGTGAAAAGGCAAGGTTTGAGTCTTATAAGTCAAAATTCATGGCTTATGGACACTGTTTAAGTCTCTCTCTTATGCAAAATCTTCAGTGTGATGTGACTGGAAATTTTGATTTCTAGCATATTTCCCCTCTATTTGACACTCTTGGAAATTCTGTGTATGAAGAACCTGTTAGAATGATCTATGCAAATCTGTTTGTGAATGATAAGGATGACTTAGAATCTATGGTCTTAGGTACTAGAATCATGTTTGACTCCTATCAATTTGAAAAAAAAAATCTGCCAAATTTAGTGGGTATGATGTGTTTGTTCAAAATTCTTGGCCCAAAGACTTTGACGTGTCTCTTGAAGAAGCAAAAATTTTCTTGTCTGATAATCCCCCCTGACATTGGCCCCAAAAATCTGAAATTTGAACACCGAGTTTTGGCCCACATGATTGCCACTACTCTACTTCCCAGGTATGGGTCCCTAAGTTCATTGTCCACTATAGATATCTTTGTCCTCTACTGTCTGGTCAACAACAAGCGTCTCAATTGGTTTGTATGGATTCGTCAGTATATGCTTGAGAGCATCAGGGATATTTCCTCTTCTGTTGCTTGTCTGCACTATGATATTCTTCTCTCATATTCTGGAAGTTATGAAGGTTGATTTAGCACCATTTACACCCAAGCACATCTCAAGTACCTATGATAAAACTGCTTTCTCGATGATGAGTTACTCATTGGGTGAAAATGGACGGGTTAAAAGGGCCAAGGTTGAAAGTGCTCCAGCTCGGTAGATAAAATCAGAGAAGTCACTAAGGGGACAGGTTCAGATGTAGCAAAGCTACGGATAGACATAGGGGCTACAAGGAGACATGGAACTAGGACCTTCAATTCCATGACTGAAAAAATGGACAAGCTCGTCAAGGATATTGACAACTCCTATGAATCCTTTTGCACCAAAGTGATCAACACCCTCAAATACTTTCTGGGATATCATTAATTATCTCTGGCTGTTTTTACGATAAATAACTTATGTTTTTTTTTGCTTTTGTGATGGTAGCCTTTAGACAATTATTTTTTGGTCTGTACTAACTTAAGCATCTACTGAAGGCTCTACTGCTCTAACCCTTTTCATGTTCAGTATATTGCTTTGTGTTTCTATATATTATATTACTCTTTCCTTTTTGATTGATGTCAAAGGGGGAGAAAAAGTGAGTAAACACTCAGGGGGAGACATGAGCACAACTTTCCAAACACAGGAACAATTCAAGGGACGCACTAGCTCAGGGGGAGAAACTCTTAAAAGAAATTGAAAAGGGAAGTATCTTAATTGTCCTTAAACCTGTTTACTACTTATTGATTGTCATTATCAAAAAGGGGGAAATTGATAGGTTTTAAGTTTAAGTTTCAATGATGACAATATTATCTTACGTTATATTTTCGGGAGAAATAAAAAGGAAGGAATGAAGATAATTAGCAAGATTGCTATTGGTTTCAAAATAAAGGAAGAAGGAAGAATTGATTACTGCATTAATGATCAATTAAAGAAGCAGATTGACTCGTCCTCAATCAAGAAAAGAATGAAGATTCAATTGCAGCATTAATGATCAATCAAAGGAGAATTTGGGTCGTGACATTATTTCAAATATTCCTTTTAAATAATATTATTTAGTTATCAAATTACATGTATCGTCTAATAATTTCAAATTAGTATTCTATTTTACTTCTAGGAACTTTAGAGAGAAGACCGGAGAAGGTAATATCATAGTGGACATAGATGCGTGATAATAGTGACACATTCCTACTTGTTCTGCATATTCCTACTTGTTCTGCACATTAAGTAAATATCTATGTTTTCTTTTAACTGAGCAACACTAGTATATGAACCCTCCTGTTTAGCTTAGAAAAATATGCTTATGTGACCTAATTGTCTTATCTGTTTTACCTGCTTTAACTGTTTACTTGGATTTTGTGTAGCATGTTTAGGGTAGAAATTCCTGTCTTTCCTGATACGAACTTGAATAGAATTGTAGAATCCTTTCTTGAGACTGTTGTGTATTTACTTTGGGACTATGGATCGGTATTCCGGGAGATCCTCTGGCCTGTTTACTTTGGGAATACGGATCGGTATTCCGGGAGATCCCCCTGCACATTTATAATTGGGACTACGGGACGATATCCCGCGAGATCCCGCTGTACTAGATAATTACTTTGGGACTACGGATCGGGATTCCGGGTATGATTTGGACTACGGGACGATATCCCGGAGAGATTCTGCACATTTACATTTGGGACTACGGAATGATATCCTGAAGATCCCATGTTGCTATCTCTGTGTACTGAGTTATATTCTTTTTGTGATGTTATTCTCATTTGACTATTAGTATTTTAATTATACTGTCACATTTCATACTGTTTTACTTTGTTATATATATATATATAACCAGTAGGGCCCTGACCTTCCTCGTCACTACTCGGCCGAAGTTAGGCTTGGCACTTACTGGGTACCGCTATAGTGTATTCATGCCCTTTCCTGCACATATTTTTCGTGTGCAGATCTAGGTTCTTCTACTCAGCCATACTATCAATGAGGTGAGGCGATTTCAGAGACTTCGAGGTATATCTGCCGCGTCCACAGACCGAGAAGTCTCTCTCTATTCTCCCTTTTAGCTATAGACCTTCTGTAATTACTTTTGTTTAGACTTCTGGAGTTAGGACACTATATAATTTCTCTAGTTTGTGATTCATGAGATTCCTGGTTTTGGGAGTGTATATTGGTCGAGAGTGTTATTATTGTATATGCCGATCAGCATTTTTTACACTTTATCTATATTTACCTGTTAGATGGCTAGTTGTACTTTTAAATTCCTTTTTCCGTAAATTGTTAGGCTTACCTAGTCATAGAGACTAGGTGTCATCACGGGGAGGGAGAATTTGGGTCGTGACATTATTTCAAATATTAATTTTAAATAATATTATTTAGTTATCAAATTACATGTATCTCTAATAATTTCAAATTAGTATTCTATTTTACTTCTAGGAACTTTAGAGAGAAGACCGGAGAAGGTAATATCATAGTGGACATAGATGCGATGGTAGCAAATGCAACATATAAATTCAATTAGAGTATTTGTCAGCGCGAATCGAGCCTTAACTATAATGGTTGGGGAAAGCATTCCCTTATCTAAATCTGTACTTGGCACAGGTATGAAAAATTAAAATATGAGATTAATAATCTATATCATAAATTCTGATAAAAGAAAATAATATATTAATAGCGAAAATAATTTTTTTTTACAAAGCCAGTCAGAACCAATTTTTTGTTTTTACAAAGCCAATTAGAACTAAGAATTACAACACATGATGCTTATAGACTTGGGCGTAACGCTTCAAGTAGTCTTGGGCTGTAGTGTAGTTAACCTCTGGATAGAGTTTGGATGCCTCTACTCCTCCTTCTCCTATTTCAAAATTAACAAGGCATCCTTCATAGCAAACGTGATAATAGTGACACATTCCTACTTGTTCTGCATATTCAAGCTCTGTTTTTGATTGAATCAAAACAAAAAAAAAAAAAAGAGAGAGAGAGAGAAAATTACGTTATCAATACAACATTTTCATAGAAAATTACGTTATCAATACAACATTTTCATAGAAAATTACGTTATCAATACAACATTTTCATTATTTTGGAAATGCCAATCAAATTGGGACAAAGGGAGTATATGATTTACGGTTCTTACCCTTCATAGGAGCCAAAAATTCTTCTTTGGTAAGAGTTGATTTTTTAAGCTCCTTACCAATGAGCTTTTCCCAAATATGAACAACCTCTCTTTGGGAAAGTATGTTTTTAGGAGGCCTAAGGTAAACTGTCTTATTGAGTGTTCTTGAATCATCTATGCTCTTTATTGTATATGTTGCTATATCATCTTCGTCCACACAAATTGCTGCAAATTAATCAACACAAAGATAGTTATACAAAATACAGAACAAACCATATACAGAAAGATAAAAGGAACTAATTATACAAACAAATTACCTTTCTGGTTGCCATCTCCGAGAAAAACAACAGAATCAGTAGAAGGAAGAATGTGGCCAATTTGATAAAGACCGCCGAGGAAGTAACCAGCAAAGCAGTTAGCAGAGACGTAAGTGTAAGGAATGGGAGCTTCTTCTATGGCTTTTCTCACCACCATTTTATCATCAAATGTCACTCTACCTGGCTCCATTCCATTTTCCATTCTTGCTGGATCCGTTCCAAACTCAGATGGCAAAAATCTCTGTACATTTTTATATTTTATATCCCAAATGAATTGTCTTGGCAATGATTAAAATTACCGAATCTCAAATACACACGCATATTTTATATAATTATGAATATGTAATCAGTTTGGATGAATAATTAAGTGCTATTTTATGTTCGAAGTGTTATGATATTTTCGCTCCACATTCAATGTGCCTAAACGAGCGGTGCATGAGAAAACTCTTCATTAATTATATTATATATATACCTTGATATTTCCAGCTTCTTTGATGGCATCCACAAGCTTGAGCTGAAGTAAGATATGATGGCTACGAATGTGGACGCCGGAGATTGCACAGATGACAACATCGACGAGTTTAACGGCGTCGACGAGGCTCCGATGATCGTTAAAAGAAGCAGAAACAAGATGAGCTCCTTGCATCTTAAAAGAAATAAGCAATTCAACTTTCTCAATATCAACTCCAATTTCTGGACGATGCAAAATGTAGGTTTCATTACCATTTGCTAAACTAGCTTTCACTAATCTCTTCCCAAGGTACCCTGTTCCTCCTACAATCAACACTTTGCTTTTTTTCATCTTAATATATTAATTTCTTCTTCTTAATGGATTGCTATATATGATAGTACTTCATTACCTAGCCATTTATAGAATGGATTAATTTCGTTTTATTTTCCTTCTGTTGTGGGTTTTTTGTCTTGGAGTACAAGGTTTTCTTTTGTTCTAGATTTTACTCCTTTTTTGGGACATTAAAATGTTGCTCCATCTTTTTTCTTAGACACGAAGCTACATAAGCATGCTATTGATACAAGAATTTTTTCTGCTTTTCACTTTATGTCTGGTACTCATATTTAACGTCTAGTTAATCCGCACTACGTAACGCCCATTAACGGAGAAAGACTCCTGGCTAGAGTTTTTTTATTTAATTCTCACGGCTTAAACCCAAGACCTCTAATTAAGGGCGAAGGGATCTTATCATTCCCACCATGATTCTGGCTGGTGCTATTGGTACAAGTTTAAGCTACTGATATAGCTAGCTCCTTGTTTTTAACCTTTTCTTCTTTGCTTATTTGCAAGATTTTGAGAAATCGAAGTGATTAGTTAGGTTTCAATTCTGATCATGTTTTTGTAACTTAGTTTGATGGAAAATTTTAGAGTGTCTAGAAAACTTAAAGTTGAATAAAATGTAAAAAAAAGTGCTCAATGATTACTTTTAAAAAGATTAGAAGTATTTGAAAATAAAATCTATATAGCCTAACTTGTTATTATCTTCTTTAGTTTTAAACTTCATATGAATAAATATGAGAAGGTACCGGTTAAGGAGATGACTTTTACTTGGGAAATACTATACTATTTGGTAGAAGCAACTTGTTGCTTCTCTTTAAAATCAAGAAAGTCGATTTAATACATTAATATTGATACTATTTCTTGGGTCACTACTCCATAGGTAATTTAATAATTCTTAACTTTTTCCCTCTTAGTGATTATGCACCTACAACTTACAGACCATGCCATCAAAAAGCTTAAAATCTTTCGCGCTACAACAACAACCTAGTGGAATCCCACTAGTGAGTTATGGGGAGGGTAGTGTGTACGCAGACTCTATCCCTACTTATGAAGGTAGAGAGGTTGTTTCCGAAATACCCTCGGTTCAAAAACGTTAAAAACAAATGGAGTAATGGAGAAACAATAGCAACAACAAGGTAACCAGACAGTAGAAGCAAATAATACAACACGTAATGACAAAGATCCAGGGATACGAAACTACAAGAATAGTGCCAATCCTACTACTAATATTGACACACCGCATATAAACAAGGGACTAGGAATAGGAAAGTACCCGACTAGTACTACTACTATTGGTAAGACAAGGCAATTCAAATCTTTTGCGCTATTGCTGGAAATTTTATTTCATTTATTTATTTTCGCTGTGGTGACAAACAGTTCAATTCTGCTGATCTCATGGCCTTTGCCAAGCAACAGGTAATATATATTTGCACTTTTTTTTATGCTTCTCACAATTTTAAATTTAGCAATAGGCCTGTCCGGGATTATAATGCCGTCATACTCATGAGAGCTAATTCTGTGGGCGCAGGACAATACGCAATTTTATACTAGCTGTTAAAAAAAATTATGCTCATTAAATAGTACTCTTTTTTTCTCTTATTCTTTTTTTTTTCCTTTTAGGAATGGTTGGAGGGGTCATGTAATGTATGAATATAACCACATGATCGTCTCAGCAAAGGCGGAGCTACATGTATTTGAGGGGTTCAATTCAATCTCCTTCGTCGGAAAAATATACTGTGCAAATAGGTGGGCACACCTTTAAATTGCCATTGAGAAATTAAAGCACAAAGTTTCTTATGAATAATTAAAATATGTAGATGGACGATATACTAGGCAAAAACCCAAGAGGAAAATCATACATGGTTAGTTTTGGGAACAAACCTCCAACTCAAGCTCATTACAGAGGTGCCTGTGTCCCGAAAATGTCTCCAGACAAACTGGTGGACCGCTCCATGAGTTTCATATACTGGTACAATGCAGAAAACTCCAATCCTAATGAGCTAACAGGTGCCATTGTTGGTGGTCCTGATCGATACGATAACTTTGAAGATCGTTGTTCAACTTCTTCAGCCATGACTGAGCCGACAACATATACAAATTCTTTGGCCATTGGTGTCCTTGCAAAGCTCGCGAAGCACCATGCCCAGTCTTGATCACCTAGCCACATGTTCATTAGCTGGCTGCAAGGGATCGGAGCAAATAAGCTAGAGTTTGTCTCTCTTTTCTACAGATTAGATGTGTTTAACATAGAATAGGATAGTTAGGATTCTTTTGATGGCCTAGAATCTAGGTACTACTTTTGCAACGTTGATTAGTTGCATAAAGTCTGCACCCAAGAAGAGTACTTTCTTGTGGTGGATGTCGTGTAAATTTGTATGGATACACAGAATAAAGAAAGAGCCTGTACAGATGAAACATTGCCATAATAGCCAGAAACAGATTTCTGTTTTCAGATAAGCACAATGAGAAGCTTCAAACCTCACTAGAGTTGCACCATGAGTCAAGATAACACACTCACCAAAACCAATCGTACTTGACAGGTAAAAAATTTGTTGCTGAATTGGTTGACAAAATCGCAAATATGTTAACTAAAAGCTCGGCAGATCAGTCATATTAAAAAGAAACCAAATATTTCTAACATCGCAGATCAATCCTAATAAACAAATTCAACTACTGAGCAGTGTTTATGCGCGGCTGCCAGCTTCATAAAATAAAGGACCTCGGATATCAAAAAGAGGCAATACGACAAAATTCAATGAAGGAAAAAAGAACAGGCTTGGAGAATTTTCATTCAACTTTATGATTTATACAAGCCAATCACAGAAGATACAAGAATTTCTGAATCTGCAACAGAGTTTGCAGTTTGAAATTGGACTGGCAGTTAACATTAATGAATGAAGTAGAATAGAACTATGCAACTATTTTACTGAGGCATGTATTTAAAAACTAGTGCCACTCATCAGTTGCAAAAAATCATATACAAGAAGAAGCCTTTTTTTTGTAAGGAGTATTGATCAAATAGCTATAAGCATATGTACAGTATTCAATTGTATTTCCTTTTAACTAAAAAGGGGCTGCACCAGAGATCATCTTGGTCACAGGCTGCCTACGTACCCCTAACAAATCCTAAAGAGGGATCAAGCCCACACGTAGTTCTTTAAATATACAGTATTCAATTGTAGTTTTTATAACTAAAAAGGGGCTGCACCTGAGTTCATCTTGGTCACAGGCTGCCTACATACCCCACTAACAAATCCTAAAGAGGGATCAAGCCCACACGTAATTCTTTACATACTATATTACAAATCAATTATCAATTTGAGTATCTACTTTCAGTATCGCCTCTCTAATTTCTTCGGATTCTGCAGGCACATTCTCATTATTGGATCAATGTTCTACTATCAGATCACGGTTATGTGGTTGTGTCTTGAATGCTATCTTTTGCTGCGGTCTGCGTAAAATGATCTTGTAACCACCTAGCTTCTTAGTTGTCTTTGTTGCAGGCTGGATATTGTCTGCTACTTTGGATGAATTCAGAAACGGATGATTCAATAGCATCTCGGCTGTCCAACGTGAAGTGGGATTCTTGACTAGACATCTCTTCAAAAAATCTTGTGCTTCATTCGACAACTTTGCATTCTGAAACATTGGTTCCTCAAACTCGATTCTGTATAAAACACCCGAATCTTGGCTATCTTCATCTGATTCCCACAGCGGTGTCCCCGTCATCAACTCGTAGACAGTGCAACCGAGAGCCCATATATCAACTTCTGTTCCGTACTTTTCGTCAGCCACGGATTCTGGTGCCATATACCTTTCAGTTCCCTTTAGTCCCTGATTTTCTGCCCTGCCCTGTTCCAAAGTCATAGAGAGCCCGAAATCTGCGATCTTGGCTGTTTCATCAGAGCCCGCAAGAAGAATGTTATCGGGCTTGATGTCGCAATGAATAACTCCTCTGCTGTGTATGTGAACGAGCCCTAAAACAATATTCCTCGTGTGTTTTGTAACTTCAAACTCTGACAGTCCTTTCCCTGAGTTGTAGTTGTGAAGACGATCGGCTAAGCTTCCTCCGGAGGCATATTCGAGCAGTAAGTTGTAAAGGGTGACGCCATCTTCTTGTGTAATATTAACTCTGAAACAGTGAATTACGTAAGGCGAGTATTCAAACATGCGGAGGAATGCCCTTTCTTCTTGCAAGGATCCAGAACGATCGAGTACGCAAGATTTAACTGCAATGAGAGGTGGAAGACGCTCTAACGCGGCAGGTTGAATACTGGACGTGGAAGCTAAAGAAACAACCCCAAACCCACCTCTACCCAGCGTCCTCACTCTCTTCCACAAGGCTTCAGCCATTTCTGAAATATCGGTATGTAACTAGTGAACGTCTGCTGCTGCTTCTTACTCTGTAGTCTGTTATATGTTTACTTCTTACTTAGGTTATAAGGTGTAGTTGGTGGGTATTAGGACATCCCAATCCTTTATTAATTAGGTTTCTAACTTCCCTATTTTTACTATCCATATATTTGTGTTACGGCCCTATTCGTTTTTTTTATTTTCTCAAAGATGATATTTATTCACGTATATAAATTTCAGTCTGTCTCTGGCCACAATTCAAAAACTAAATAATTTATTCCATAGGAGAACTAACTTTATGCGTATTAAACTAGTAAATTTATCGGCGCTTCGCGAGATCATTAAGAAAACAAATATGACTAATAAATAATAATTATTATTTTTATAATTAATATCAATCAATTTTTACCTTGGCAATAATTCAAAGAATTTGATGTGCATAATGTATAATCTTTTTATACACGATAGGAATCATGTATGATAAAAGATAGTAGTCCGATTGCAAGCTCGTGATAGTTTTGCGCCCTCCAAGTTTGTTTTTCCAATAATATTACCTCAAAAAATTGTATATCTAATTTTATGCTTATCACATGGTTATTGCACTAATCTGGTAGACAAGTATAAATTTTATTTGCTTACAAAATATTGTTTGGTATATAAAGGTAAATTTATTGAGAACAAAGGTAGTATTGGAGCT